TCTCTCCTCTTTCCCCCCGGAGTCTGTAATTCAGATAGTTCCAATACATTCATATTGATCCCTCTTTCTTGTTATTTCCTCCGAGGATTATGGCGTAGCGAAGCAGTTACCCCGATTGTGCCACAAGGAATTTCGAGGAATCCCAACTCAAACGCACAACACTATTTACAGGTTACCCTGGCCGGCGCTACCAGCAGGGTCAGTGCTGGCACCCTCCGCAGCGGGGAGAGTCTCGCCCTTCAAGCTCGACAGAACGTCAGAGGAGGTGCCGGTCAGCGTGCCTCCGTTGGCGTTGGCGACACAGGAGCGACCAATAGAGGAGGAGCAGGTGCTGGAGTCACTGTCGGAGGAAAAGAGGGCACCCTTGAAGGTGGCTGACTCGAGAACCTCCTTCACGTTAGAGAAGTAGTTACCCTCCGCAAGAACGTAGCCACCAGAGCCAATCTCGAAGGCGTGGCCAGAGTTCTCGTCCCAGTAGTTGTTGACAGCGTGAAGGTAGGTGTTGTCCTGGACCTTAGGGGCACGACCACTGGTCTTGTAAAGGTAGTTGCCCTTGAAGGTAACCTTGTCACTGGAGCCATCAAGGTACACGTTCCAGTAGTGGTGACCGTCGCAGGTGGCAGAGTAGTCAGATTCACCGTTGATGTAGTTGTTGGTGATAGAGACACGGTTGTCAGCCTCAGTACCGAGGACGTAGTGCTGACGACCAATGCGAGCAGTCTAGATGATGAGTCAAGTCAGTGAATGTGAATTGCTGGGAAGATCTGTGGAAGGAACGAACGGTAATGTGGTCGAGCCAGACTAGGTCAGCTTGGTTGATGGTGATGGCATCACCACCCCAGACGTACTGAGGGTTGATGTCTGTGACAGCGATGTTCCTATAATAAGCCGATTAGCGTGCATTCTAACGAAGCCCTCGGCCTTAAAAACCGACACAGGGATTCAACGTACTGGACAATGACGTTCTTGACACCGTTGACGATGCGCAGACCACGGCCCTTAATAATACCAGTGCTGCCCTCACCAATCAAGGACTTGTTGGAGCCAACATTGATACCGAGCATACCGGCGTTTTTGCTTAGAGACATGTTAGCATCGAGGGGTTAACAATTATAGCCCGGGTAATGGGATACTAACTAGGTAACGGTAGTGGTAGCGGCATCAGGCTCATAGTTGGTGCACCAGTCGTCCTTGTTGATAGCAACCTGGCAGGCGGAGCCAGTACCCCAAGGAGTACAACCGGAGGTGGTGGTGCTACCCTCAGTATCGGTGAAGTCAAAACTAGCATTCCGCCATTGTCAGCGGTCATGCATCCACGGCAGGAACTCTCTACTCACGTCTTGCTCAGAACAATCACACGAGCCTCGTCATCACCGAGGTAAGAGACCAGCTCATCGGTGGAGGTAGGGTAGACAGGGGTAGCTTTACCGCCACCAGTGGCGGAAGAAGCGAAACCCTCAGGAGTGCCGGAGACACCGACAGCGGCGACCTTGGAGGCAATAGCGGCAATGGCCGTGAGAACAAATGCGTACTTCATTTTTGAAGTTGATATGGGTAGTATATAAAGAGTGACGGTGAACAACAAAAAGCAAACGAAATTATGAAGCGCACAAAAGAAAGGCAAAGAGAGAATGGATTGTTGTGAAATGGATGGAAGGACAAATGATGTTTACTTATATAACCGTGATTTTAGGTTATGAGATATGTTCCAAGGTTTCGGCCATTCAACACCTCCTTAGGTTCTCCACTCGGATAATCCCCGGTTGAAATGAGTGGATGTGTTGAGAGTGGATGTGATGAGAGTGGTTTCGGAAACCAGCGTAATTGAGAGGATCCTGGTGGAGATGTCACAGCCGATCAGTCTGTGACTATCGTTGCTTTGGGAAGGGGATCGTCAGTCATGCTATCTCCGAAACGCCGGCACAAAGACAAACCCAAGAAAAAGAGTAGAGCCGCGGGCGCTTCATTTAATAGTGTTTCATTTAGATCGATGGCATAATTGTCCACGTTTTCTTTTTCCCAACATTAACTTTAAATAATCGGGCTTTCTTTACGGAGTAATTTCTCCAGGAATCAGGACCTTCCCTGACAAGACGTGCTAATCGTTCTTGTGCGGTCTCCTTTCCATACTTGAGGTATCCGCACTACGAAGACAGTAATTAAACCGAGATTTAATGCAGTTCTACATTAAAAGGGGAATTGAAAAGGGATGTAATGTATTTGGATTATAAAGAGTGGAACTACAACAGGATTCGTCGTACCCGTATTTCGTGCTATAAAAATTGACTAAAATGCCATTGAGGAAGACTTAGGTCATATCAGGAAGGCAGCATGGAGTAGCTTCTACTATGTATGCTATTCACAAAAGTACGAAGGTGTGGTTTTCCTATGCAGGAACAAGTTTAGGTCCAAGGCAAACTATAGTCATACGTGAAATCTGATAACACTCTGGCAAAATTGACGAAAGCAGATAACATTTGGATTTCAACCCACTAGATATATACTAGGCAATTTTATGGTATTCTGCATCCAACTCTTCACTTTCGGCACAGTATGGACCGTGGTTTGCGGATTTCCTATTCACCGAAAGTGGGGTCACAAATAAGCTTTGCATAAATTAATTATCCGTTATTATCCATTTTGATATGAATTCTTATATATTTATCTTCGTGGCTGTACCTACTTGGTAACTAGATGATGCCGTTCTACCATCACCGCCATTTAAACCACATTGTATTGTTGAAGACATATTTCCATCACATAAGTGAATCCCCTGGAATATTGTCAGCCCTTCTTGAAGCCCTTTGTCGTCCAGCAACTGCTAAGACGTTTCTCTTCTCGATTCTTCGACCCCTTTGTCTCCGTCAAAGTCCTCAGAAATCTACCTCATCGCCGAGGCAAGCTCCACAAGACCGTGCGAATGATTTGGTAGGTAGGAGCTAGCAAAAGAATATAGTATTCTTGTGTGTTCCGTGCACAGCTTGCCCTACAGCCACCCCCTTTAGTTTGAACGGCCACTTAATTTCCCGCTGACTAATATTAAAACCTACCCGTCAGTTTAGTCTGCGACGCTTTAATGTAAATATTTATTGATCCAACTACAATGGCAGTTTCATTCTCGGTAACCTGGTGTATAAACCATCGGAGAACAAAAAGAATTGTAACTGGAATTATTATTCGATTCCAGCATTAGCAATCTTAGCGGTAATGCCATAATAGGCATTGACGAGGCTGTTAGGACCACCGGAACATAACTCTCTGCACGATATATATAATATTACTATAGCTATAAGCGTATAGGTAGATCCACTTACTATATTATATAATTCGACTCGGCGGCTAGGCGGGACGGAATAGATTAGGCTTTAGTTTTACGGCTACGATAGTAACGGGTTGGCCTTAGCAATAGGACGTATAGTTTACCTCGAGGAAAGCTTCGAGCGGTGGTTAGAGTAAGCGTACGGGAGTGGTAGAGAGGAGGAGAGAGAGGAGGACGATTATATAGAAGGAAAGCTTTCACGCTAAGAAATATGGTATAGGTACGAATGACGTTACATATTTTCTAAGGCATTAAAGACTATTGTCGACCTAATATTCTAGGTACCTATTCATAACCCTAGCTAGGATATACGTTCAGGCAAATTGATATAATTATATAGAGGGGAAAAAGACTGCATACTATGTTTTCAATATAGTATTTGCAAAGTGAGGGTGGATCTGAAATTCTGCCTCCCAATATAAACCAATGAGAAAATTATGTTCCAGTGGTCCCAAGAGTCACCCGTATATGGGTCAGAGTAAAAAAAAGTGACGCGACTCCAGATGGATTTAGTTAACTTTGCGGAACCGGAGTTTCTTATCAATTCAGGGGTTCTATACAATTAACGGCAATTCAATTCGAAAAGGGTGTTGTATGATGGACAATGGGCAGTCAATAACATTGGCTGATTAGCTCTAGTGATCATTACTTCCTCATCCAATGAACAGCTATAGCAGGTTAAGAAACTCAGCGCAGAGTTCACTGTCTACTACCATAAGAACTAGGGATGGCAGAAGTATGTTGTGGACGTGAGTAAGGGCTGTGGTACGCACATTATTCTAGAAACTGGTGGTACTGACCCTATTGTCAAGAGCTTTGAGTGTGTCGCATACTGGGTCTCGTCAATTGTATTGGTTATACCTCGTGCAAGAGCAGCATTGCGGGCGACCAACATAATGTGAGCCTACTTTGCCACTGAGCAAAACACCCGCTATAAAAGGCATTATCAACGGGTCTACTCCGTACTGACTGGTTTAAAAAAATGGAGGCAATACGCGGGAAGCCCAAGATCCACCCTATTTTCAATCGAGTCCTTGCGTTTGATCAAGCAAAAGATGACTTCTCATGGAGAGTAGTGGTCACTTTGGTAAAGTTTTTATTCAAATTAAACTGTTAAGCAAAACTCCAATGATGTCTATAATGGGACGGTGTTCGACCACAACCAATCTTTGCACAATTAACCAAGAGGGGGGAGGTTGTAAGATGTCATACAAAGTAAACCATAGTGGATCTTTCATTAGGCTCCTCTATTCAAGTTAAAGATAAGACCAAAGTGGGTTCGAATTATTTTGCTTGCTAGTATATAAATCAATGCATGTACGAACCGTAGTCATTGGTCATCGATATATTAAGGTGAGGCATAAGCCCCACCTCGGCACCGCGACCCCGAATTTTCGGTTAGGGATATTGTGTTCATTTACCACACAGCAGAAGGCCAGTCGGTCTGGGTGGTCTGGGAGTTATTCGACTTCGGTCCTGATTATTCCGCGGTCATTCTCAGTGGCCATTTATCAATACCCTTGATTCAACACTCCAGCGATACTCCATGTTGATATAATGACGATTAGCTGCCATTCACCCGAGTTGAAGAGTCTTGTTTGTGGACGATTGATATTCAATTGTCACATTACTTCACACGAGGCTAAATACTAACATGCTTTTCTGATAAAATGTGTAACGACTAGACATTGTTTCTGGCGAGATAATCGGCGCTAAAAGGATAATCGGTGTATCCAGTGCGAGTCATTGGTGTGAAGAAGCTCGGCCGGTGATACATATTCAAATCGAGACCGTGCTGAATGCGGAATGGTAGATCTGCGTTGGCGAGGAAGTGTCTCCCAAACACAACTGCGACATCGTTGTTTCGATATTCACTGTCAACTGCACTTTTTGCGGAATTCGCATCAAACCCACCAGCCACCAAAACGGGCGATGTATGGCCCCAGATATCCAATGCAAACTCGATACCCTCCGCCTTTTCAACACTCACGTTGTTGTTGACCCGAGATTCAATAACATGAAGATATCCGAGCTTGAGATCCTTCAGCGCCTCAATCAGATAAGAGAATTGAGGGACTGGATCCGCCATTCTCATCCTCTGGAAGCTGCTCCAAGGGCTGATTCCATATCCGAGCTCATCCGCACCGATAGCGTTCACAATAGCTGTGGCAACTTCGATTCCAAATCGTGCCCGGTTTTGAATGCTACCACCCCATCTGTCTGTTCGCCTATTGCAAGTATCTTGAAGGAATTGATCAACCAAGTATCCATTGGCGCCATGGACTTCAACGCCATCAAAGCCCGCGCGAATGGCGTTCTTGGCTGCATTGGCGTAGTCTGTAATAGCACCTTGGATTTGATCCTCTGACATTGCCTTGGGAACCGGAGAAACGTCTGTCAATGGGATCGGGCTAGATGATAAAACATCGTAGCCCCCTTCCTTCTGCAAAGTAGTCGCGTCTGCAGCACGACCTGGGGCAAACAATTGGCAGACGATGTAGCATCCACGTGCGTGGACTGCGTCGACCACCTTTTTCCAGCCCGCAATCTGGGCATAATCCCACACTCCAAGTGCATTGGGAAACCCGCCATGGGTAGCGGATATGAGCGATGCTTCCGCGATGAGAAGGGTACCGGGAACGGATGCTCGCTGGCAGTAATACTCTACGGCCATGGGCAACTGGACATGATTGTCATCCGCCCGGAAGCGCGTAAGAGGGGCCATTACCACGCAGTGCTGCAAAGACATAGTTCCGACTTTGAGTGGTTGAAAAAGCTTGGTCATGGTTGCAATGTTGTGTGGAATAAGAAAAAATGGCAAAAATTCCAACCTTGTCAACTAATCTCTTGTACGGCAAGGTGATGCTTATTTATATTGCAAAACGATAGTTATTTTCCAGTGGAATGAGTACGTGATTCATCTCCAATCCATATTGGTCAGCCGGAAGCGCCACCTGGGCAATATTCAACGTCTCCAATTGTTCTCCCAGGGTCATGGTCTTGGCATGGAGGTGTTTAGCTACCTCCAGAAGAGCTCGAAAAAACCTGCTACCGATTTGCCTATCCGATGTACAGATTATGTGAAGGACTTCATATAAAGCTAAAAGGTAATTGAAGATAGTTCATTGGAGAATTGCTGCTTTTATGCTATAAGTATCGTATGGATACATGTGGTACGATATGGTTACCGGTCGCCTCTACCGTTGAACAACTTGCATGTTCGATAGGAGTTGCCTCATACTTTGGAATGCCAAAGACTGCCGATGGATTTCGGGAAAACGCAACATTGGCACCGTCCAACAGAAGAAGACGCAAACCCAGACATACCCAATAAACTTGCCTAGCCAGCTTTCTTTGAGGGCCCGAAGATCGTGCTCCCGACTAGCTCTCCATGTTAACTGGCTAAGCGTCTTGACAAAAGTGGACTCGCCCATACAACCGAGAAAATTGAGTAGAAACCAATAAATATTCAAATGCCAATCAGGGCTGTCGCGCTTCCAGTCAATTAATGCGTGAGCGGCGCCCGAAAGCCCAAATGCAACCAAGGCAATGATTGCCTTGTGGGCGAACGACCGAGATGAGCACCTAACTACCCGAAGGCTGATGTATTCTCCAATGCTTCTGTAAGGCTTCATGGGAAGCGTGTGCCAGAATCTTGACCAGAAATTTCGCAGCCCGACTGCCTGTGAGAGATCTCCAAAAAGGGGCGGCCAGTCCTCTGGATCATCCACGCCGATCGTAACAAACAGCGTGGCCATCAAGGCATTTGTCCCGTCGAGATACACAAACGTCGTCCAGAAAGACGAGAAGGTGACGAACGTCACATTCAAGCACTCTCGCGCCGTGAAGCCCCCCAAGGGTCGCCAGAGAGATTGTTGATACGGAGCAACATCATCCGGCAGGATGTCAATGACAATTTCGTCAAATAGCGCAGGGGAGATGCGTGCTTGGATGATGTAGTATATGACAAGCTTGGAGAGTTGTAAGATAAGGAATACCCCGCGAGACTGTTTCCCTGACCGCTCCTGGGAAGTCCGGTCGGTTGGATGCGTACGTATCAAACGTGGATTCAGCCAAATTCGGCGAAAGTAACCGAAGTCAAAGCAGGTGCTGAATCCAAGCGTCGTTAGATCTGAACTGGATGGGCAAGGTGGTGGGATCTCTTCGAGGTGTAAGATCGATATGGTGTGCAGGACATATCCTGTTAATGCTTGACCCCAGACCAGTGAGACGCCAGGGGCAAATGGCACATGAAGTACCGCAGACAAGGAGAGGAAGGCGGGTATTAGAATCAACGGCAGTAGTGCCAGGCGTTGTCCCTGTTTTGGTGTGTGCAAAGAGATTGCGAATGCAAGTCCAGAAAGCGCAAGGTAGAGCACTGGTGGCAACGCTTGGATTATTTGTTCCAACGCCATCATTCTTTTCATGCTCGGTACCTTCTCTTCCTAAATCGGTTCTTTGCGGCAAAACGGTGCAAATCCGGGTGCGGCGCACCTGATATAATTCGCGCACCCTTCTCTGGTGCGCCCTCTCCCCCTATCTCTGTCGAAAATTTCCAGGGTGTTAATTTGAACATGGGGCCCGGGGGCGGGAAAGACTTGCGCCCAGGTGCCGAGGTGGAACTGTGGAGCAGGACCCAGGCCCCAAGTGGGAATTGTGTACAACGGCCCCCAAAACACATAGCATATACGCGCAGATACAGCTCCACACTATTTGCATATTGTTAGCGTCTACTAGGCAGATGAGATCATGAAAGGCACAATGCAGTATTGTAGTTGGTTGTATGTTGTACAGATAGAGATAGGAGGAAAGAAAGATCTAGTCTACTACTATAGGAACGTGTGACAACTGAGAGTTCAAACAAATATCCTCATGCAAATACAATATATACGCTTCGAGCCATTTTAGATGTTCCCACTATGGACCCTCCATTTGCCACTACTGTAGGCTGACATGGGACGTACCAAATGTTTCAGGCACAAGGGACTCATACAGTGTATACTACTAGCCCGAGACTTTATAATATTATTCACATTATATGGCAAGTACTAGGAATTTAGAGATATTCCAAATGAAGCTGGTTCCACGCGTCGTAAGCATACTTTGCTAGAAAATATCATATCTCTATAAAATCATTGTTGCTGCTATTTTAGCCTGCTCTCTATATATTATTCCCACACCACAATTACCGGCTAATAGAGCGGCTTATGTTTCATGTAGAACATATTCCGTGTGCCTTAATCATCTTTATATTGAAAGTGCTATGGAATCGTGATAAACTGGGAAGCCATAGCCCTACTTAAAGATTTTAAGCCTACTGTGCAAAGATGGTTTTATTGGACCCAATAATATAAAAATGACGGTGAAGAAATGATCCCACTTGCCGGTATCAGTTCTAATCTAGACAATATTGGTGTATCCAAAAGTCGAACAAGCCAAACATATCCGCATCCCGTGTACAACTTGTCCACAGTAATCACTAACTGGGAGACATTACCCCGTTTCATCTAAGCGTGGGTGTTCAAAGCGTCTTCCATCTGGTGAACATCGTCGTCGGTCAAACCAGTGAAGCGGACCGCATTGTTGCTGAGCGGAACCGGGTTGCCCTGATCGAACTTGCCAGTAATGACGGTGGCAAGGTTCATGCAAGCTGGGGGCATACCGCTAACAACCACGGCTGAATATACGTGTTAGCTAAAAATGGGGCTGTCTAGCATTGCAATGGAGAGGATACTTACTGCCAGGTGCCTCGCCGTTGAAGTCGATTGTCGAGGTAGTGAGTTGCTGGTGGCATTGCTCCCAGTCATACTTGGTGCCGTAGGATTGTCTCTTAACACGGCTGATAGGTGCTGCCTCGATCTGGGTCACCTCTCGCTTGGAGTTCGCGACAGCAGCGGAGACACCTCCTGTGACACCACCAGCGGCGCCGATAACACCGCCGATGGTTCCAAGAGCAACGTCAAGGGAGATTGTGACTAAGATAGCCGAGCCACTTTGGACGGAGGCAGCAATGGCGGCAGCACCGAGGAGAGTCTTGAAAGAAACCATATTGGAGGCAATAAGAAAGTTTTTGGAAGTAATTGAGGAGTTTTGAGCGGGGATGAAAGATAGTGTTTTGAATCAATGGTCAGCTGGGAAGGTAGTCAGCTTTATACCATCGTCTCCGGCCCATGACGTCTCTAGTCTGTGGACTTCATTGTACTTCTCCTTCATGGAAAGAATCGGAAATGAGACTCCCGAGGGGCTGTGCATTCATGGCCATGTACTGCTATCCAATTCCTTTGCCTCTGTAGTGAGTTCCGTGCTCTAATTTCAACTCCACCCGGCACTCCTGATTTTGCTTTTACCTCATTGCTTGTAACATATTGTGCGCATGATAGTGCATTGGGTCATATAGAAGCTATATATGTCTCCATGGCACTCGCCGTTCACCATGAATGCTGAGCTTATCCACGACCTCCTTTTGTATCTAGACACGACTTTATGAATAGGAATCATTGATCCATATTGAACTGACCCTTACGCCCATACTATAATGATAGTACGAGGCTTCCAATTCTCTTAGTACGAACGATATCATTCGTATGGCACAAATGATACTGGCCCCCATACTTTCTGTGGGCCAAACTGAGGCATTAATTATAGCTATCCCTAAGTTACTGAGTAAGATTATATCATACGAGAGCCTTTTGATAAAATGATGAAACTCGTAATCCTTTTTTAGTTAGTTTTAGCAATACCCCTAGTATGCTGTGGCGGTATATCTCCTTAGCGTGGAGTGAAAATAACCTGCCAATGAACAAACACAGGGCAGAGTGCAACGAGCCGTGAAACCATCACTGTGGGCTTGGGTATAGATATCTTCAGTACTATAAAAGGAATATTTCGTGACTCCTCAAAATCTCGTTCTATAGATATGTTGTCTTTGGCCTATAAAAGGAAGTCTTTTGTCAGCAACGAGTTAGACATTCGTATTTCAACTTGAATCATCCTAGGCTTCCTGTTGTGGTTGTGTAAAATATATCATGTTCATACTAACGTTATTATCCCTTATAGAATACTAAACCAATATAGTATTGGCCCCCATGCTTACCTCTGGCCCCCATAGAAGACTTGGTCCACTTTGTGTGGAAAGCTTGATCCACACCTATTATGCCAAGCGAAATAGACTAGGATCGGCAATCAGTGCCAACTTTTCATGAATCATTCAGGGACGGAACATGCGACATTTACTGGCAGTTGGACCCCACAATCTTTTCTTAGTTCCATGATCTTCCTGGCCCCCAAGTTTCGTGCGGATTAAGTAACCTGGCAAACACTATTTCCGCCTTCCTTCACGGGCTATTCCGCTGCCACACCTCAACTACTGAGCTTCCTTTGGCGTATATGCAGCCTTGAACAGACCCACTATATCACTGCACACACACCATTTCGAGAAGGGGGAGTCCTTGGTATCTTACAATCAGTGCATCGACACGCTACCCTCCTGTTTCTCTGAATCTTTTGCGCTATTTTCCCCCACCCCCCTTGTCCTGTCATTTCTCAATTATCTACACCTGGTTACAACAATAACTATCTGATTCTCCTCTTGGCACTTACATTCGGCCGCAATGGATGCAGATCTTCAAGCTCCACCTTCACCAGTCTACCTAATCGAAGGCCATACGACCGAGCAGGAATCCATCATATGGGTAAGAGTTCACGACCGCCATCTCCAAGACATCACGATCGCGCGTGATGATGGCGAGAAGCTCTTTTCCGTCGAAGGCCCCGGGGGTTACAGCTCGATGACACTGAGACGACCTTTGAAGGATGCCTCGGGCCGGCCAGTATTTGACCTACGGCGTAAGATGGGTTGGCTTGTAGAAGACGCCAGTGGCAACAAGATCGCCGAGCTTTGTCATAAGAAATTCTTCACCTCGCAACACACGGCTATTGACGGGAAAATCTTGAGCTCCGGGGCGGCTGTCGAGATGCGACCGCGCGATGCAATGGGGATCACAAACTATGTTAACATTGGCAATGTGACGATTGCGGAGATCTCGGTCCATTCGAACAATATCAAGAAGCGGTTTGTGCGCGATCGCGATATCTCGGTCTTTCGGGTTCGGGTGGCTCAAGGGGTAGACCTCACCCTGGTATGTCGAATGCTTGTGGGATGTGAGAGGCATCGCTGATAGTTAATGGTGATAGGTCGTTTTGATGGCAATGATTCGAGCGGAGATGGCGCATGTTTGGCAGAAGTAGACCGTCTAATTTGCCATCTGGCACTATGTGGCCGATAGAACTAGGGTCTTCAGCGTTAATATAGGAGAGATCCGTTCACAAGGGTTGCTTTAGACCGCAACGTGGATTATTGGGAAATTTTGGACGATGGTATGGTCGGTACATTTACATGGAATGATGAAGTTATAGACATACTTGTTGAACTTTGTGCTCACCCTGGATCATACCGCTTATGCCCTCAGACACCACACCGGAAATGGACCTATTAGAATAGAATAGACGTAAAATGTTATGAATCACCTATGAAACTCGGGATCCCATGATGGCTGAATGTGGACTGCATTCGTTTTGCCGAGCCTAAATGCTTCGGCATGGGACGTTGGCTGGATCGACGAAATAGTGCTGTTCCGGGAACACAAGAGGTTGGTGTATGCGAGCAGGTCGAGTGATAGCCAGGAAGTGCCAGGGATGAGATGGTGGATGACCTTACCCTGCTTGTTGTACCCAATGACAAAGATCAAGCCTTATTCGCACCAATCGGCAATCAACCGAACAAAGATTTGTTCTGTCTCCTTGATGCTACAAACATCGACCCATTCCTCCTTTGCATGCAATCCCTCACCGGCCTGACCAATGACAATGGTTAGAATGCCCATTGCACCTAGATGAGCAGCATCGCACCAGATTGCCATACTCTCAATATTTCAAAAAGCCGCATCCGACTTCTGGCCGCTACGCACCTCGCGTAGCGAGATATTTCCTGATACGTAACTTCCTTTAAGTAGAATATGCTACTATATATTTACAAATATGTGAGGAGGGACCTAGTATACTACGTATTTGCCGGAGGTATGCTGACGATAGCAAAAGTTCCTGTAATTTCCGCCTGAAGAATCTCTAGCTATTTTGGGCGTGTTAATAAGCACCACATTAAAAAATCCAACCAGAGGCCGGTGATATAGGGGGATAGTGAGCTGAGCTTTGATGAGAATTTGCTCCATTATGATTGATATCCTTGGTTTGCCCCACTTAACATTTGAGATGTTATAGACATCTCGAAATATACGTCTCCTCAAAAAGGTTTGCTATATTAACCGCACAGAACCCTTTAAGTTTGACATTGCTAAAGTAACAGCTTCCAGATGACACCTCATGTAACAATTCTCTTAGTAAACTGCGAAGATTTCTCGTAGCTTCTGAAATCCCAAGAAGAGCAGGATTTGCGAGTGCTCAAGGTCCCGGACACAGAGCCCATGTTTGGACACAGAGCCCATGTTTGGATATCTGCCGTCATTGATCAAGTTAAACCTACTATGTGAACTGCGTGATCCATGATGACCTAGAGAATAACTATAGATGAATTGATTTCATCTAACTTATGAATATACATGTAAAAATACTCACTTTGGCAAATGATTGGTTTCATCCATGCGACCCTTCCTTTCAAGAAGCTTTCTTTATTTGGTCAACTTGACGTTGAGCGGGCGCAGCCACTGCGGCTCGAAACCTAGATACCAAGGAGCATTCTGTGATATATTCCTACTCCCACTGCTTCATAAGGGTATTGGTCTCAATCTCATTGTCAAAATTGACTAGATGGGTTGAATGGCACCAGGGCTTGATCGTCTCCTCCTTCCGAATGACGCTAGCGAAGAATGTACACCACCTGATGCGTGGATAAGCCTCGTTTATTTGAGTGCGGGTGGTTTCGTGGATCATTTCGCCAAAATCCTTCACGTGTGGATGGAGACCGGTATTGTCATAAGTCGTGGCCAACTGGATAAGTTGACCAATATATGTGATCGTTCCATCTACTCCCATATCCTCGTGGCGAATGATTGCCTCAGCAGCAGCCTCGGCCTGATCTGTAGTGGCGCCGAAGTCCTTGAGGAGATAGAGAGCCTTGATTCCCCCATGGATATCAAATGACATCCGGGTTGCCATCAGGTTTTCATCAGCCGTGCCGAGATCGTGCAGCAAGCATGTCAAGGCCCAAGTGGCCGGGTTAAGAGTAACAGCTTTCTCGGGGAACTGCTGCTTTGTGATGGCCATTCCTAAGCAGTAGAGGTTAGATATCAGGTTTTAAATTACTAGAGCTATGCGCAACATCTAAGCATACCGTAGAAGAAGACCCTCATCGAATGGTTGAAGGTTGCGAGATGCAGGGTTTCCCTTGCATACTTCAAAGTCTTCGCGACCGTGGGATCATCAAATGGGAATTTAATTTCAGTGAGAGAGAGTGACTCCGGCTTGTTGATGAAAGGCTGGTCACCAAATATGGCGCCCGCATTAGCCGCTGTGCTGGTCCAGCCATTGGCGGCAATTTCCTGGTGGCACATGGTATAGTGGAAAGAGTTGGAAAATTGTGGAAGGAGAAAGCACTTGCTCGTCGCTTAGATTCCGTTGGGTGATACTGAGAAGTAATGAAAAGGTGGGGATGAAGCCTCTAAATATTCGTTTTTTAAACGCGCTCCACCTCATTATTAATTCAAATACAGGAAATAAGTCTCATGTTCGATCCAACGGAGACTGAACACATCCAATTGGGGTTAATCTATGAGTAAATCTGGCCGTCGTGAGCCCTGTATATTTCTCGGAGTTCGCGATTAAGCGTGGTGGAACTATACTTACCCGATTAGGAAGTTATACCAGGTGGGGCATTGGTGGCAACTTGGCTATCCGGGGCAACTTTGGAAATTTGGGCGGAATGATACCTACCATTCGCAGTTGCGCTTTAAAATGTGAGACAATATCCAAAATACATTTGAAAGGATACCATGAAGCTAAACGTTTGGTTCTGAAAAAGCGTTGCACGGATGGGTCAGTTAGACCTAATGTGGGCTTCTCGACAGCGGGAACAGGAGTGGCTTGAGATTTCTTTCGCACCAGAGATGCCTTAAGATTATAGACGGTTAGCAAGTAGATTTTAGACCAATGGCATTTTCCTTCACTGTCTTCTCTTTTATGTCTTCTCGCTTACACGAATTCAGTTATAGCGTAACCTACCCCGGAGCCGCCATCCCAAAACACCATAGTAAATGTGATAAATTACAACTTGATAGTACGTGCTGACTGCAATCTATGATCACGTACAGGCCATCCGGTCGAGTAACCAGACCCAGCAACACCCAACGAACGTCACCATCAGGTGGATCCCTGCACACGTTGGTGTAGACGGCAATGAATATGTCGACGAGGAAGCGAAGAGCGCAGCGCCCCTTCCTGCGGGGATGGGAGTTGCGACCGGGACCGGAACGGATAATCCGATAATCCGCCTCGCCGTAGGCGGTACGCCAACGAATCAGAGAGCGATGGGAGAAACAATGGGAGCGGGAGACGACCTCCGCCCCGACAAAGCGCTTAGTGTAGGCGCCGAACAAAAAAGCCCTCCGGCTATACGAAGGACTGTCGAAGCCATAGTATGCGATCTTGATCCAGATACGTACAATACGGATTGGACTTCGACACTTCTTATTCAAGATCAAGGCAGCCGAGACTGACCGGTGTAGCTGTGAAAGGGCTTACAAACACAAGGCACATTTTGATACAGTGTCCACGGTACATTATACCGCGCACGAAATTGTGGGAGCAGCTAGATAGAATTAGGATTAGATTCATAGAGATAGACTATAACAAGATTATATCTAACCCGTAGGCTATCTACTACGTAGTCAACTTTATACACCGAATAGGCCTCCTCTAGCAGTTTCAATACGTTAGGATCGAGGAGAACCACGACGACGACGAACCGACAGGCCTCGCGGCAATAGACCTAGGTATTAGCTAATGACGATAGATGATGCTATAAAACGAGAAACTTAGCTAGAGTCGATAAATATACCAATCAACTGGCTAAGGCAACGCCACCATCAATTGAAACTGAGGTAGGGGGGGGGCGTTTACAGAGAGATAAGTGAGAGAATTGAGAGATGGAAGGTGGAGGGTGCATTCTATGCAGTCATTATATGTTATTTCTTATGTATGGGTTAGGGCGATTTGCGGGTTTTACGGGTTATAGGAAGGGGCTGATTCCGCATTCTTTTACGAATCGGCATCTGTATACTCTCTGGAAGCACTATATGTGATTCCAGCTCGGCGTTTGGCTTCGAGTTCTTGCTTCAGTTGGATGAAGCGCCTGCATAGTCATACGCAACTAGTTAGACTGCAACTGAACTTTGATTGATTGATTGATTGATTGATTGATTACAACTTGATACATCAAGTACATCACTCAAAAAATCCCCGTTGGCATAATGGTCGATCTTTGTTGGAACACTATAATTGAATTGGCTCGAATTAAACATTAAATCAGTATGGATAAGGGGGGTTTTAGGAGATAATTACTCTAAAATTGTCACCATCAATGCATGTATTCCTTCCTAGTCTTTGTACCGTGCAGCTTTGTCGCTTTGTCGCTGTAGCATCTCTGCCTCCAGCCTATCTTCTTCTGCCCATCTTGCCATATCTTCGGCGTTCTCTCTTTCCCGCTCTTGTTCCTCACGTTCCAATGTTTCCTCATTTTCCTTTGTCGCTTGCCCTTTTAGCCTTTGAATCTCTCGATCATCCACTCTTGCCTTTGCTTCATCAATACTTTCCCCCTCGTAGACCAACCATCTTCCATAACGATCGCTCCATGCCTTCTCCTCGTATAACAACTTCGTCACCATGAATTCCTTAAGTCTCATCCAAAATAGGATTAGGGTATCACTCATAATATCTGCTGGACCCAAATTAAACCACGTTTCCTCGAATAGACGGGGGTCTTCAATGGCTCGGGGATCGGTATTATGTAGTCCACAGAATATCGCGAACTCCGGCCGGAGGCCTAGCTGGATACCCTTCTGAATGTAGCCCTCTGCATAGAGTAGATTAGCGGACAACTGCCTATCACCGACTAAAAAGAAAAACATACTATGGGTGTATTCAAACTCATCGTGGTCATCATGCATACCTCGAATGAACATGTTCAGGATTTCCTCAATCTTAGGGAACGTAATCTCATTGTAGGTATATGCATACTGCTTGAATTTCTCACTATATCCACACCTAGGTCCTTCATAATCTGGATATAGTTCATTGAACTTTTGTTCTATCTCAACTATCTTCTTGTCGGATAGTCCAACCCACCTCAGACACTCCTGTGTATCCGTAGGGTCTGGTAGAGTCATACCGGGCCGGTACTTACATACCGCAGAGTCCTTGTGGAATTCGAGGGGACCAATTGCCGGATGTATGTCGCCGCGAGAGGTTCCAATCTTCACAAGTTCAGCAGTCCATTCGAAAATGATAGGTTTGTTCTCCTCAGTGTCGCGTTCAGGGTGATCCTTAGTATCACTCATCTTGAAACCCGGACAAATACGATGGGGTGGTGTGAAATAGTCATCTATCGAATTGTAGAATCGCTTTAAATTTCTGAGAACGAAAAGGAATTGGTGCTGGTATTTATGGTGCGGGGTATTATTACGAAATTCTAAGTTGGTCTAGTGGCGCCGGCTATAAATAAATAAGCGCCGGCCGGATAATAGGTCGAGTACATGGTGGAAACAGGGTATTTTACCTAGAAATTGATGTGCTACTTGGTACCAAGCATATCATATAAAAGTGCATAATACGGTTAGCCATCGATATCCGTACAGATTGTTGAAACAGCAGGTTTTTGTCATTGTAGTTAGTTGAGTTCTCAATATCGGTTATTTATTGCTCGTACACCAGCTTTCTGTCACCCTAAAGTAGAGCACCCTATCTCTCATTAGCTTCTCAGGTATGACGAATATACACAATTGATTGACATCCCTAGTGGTAATATATAAAGATCTATTCTATGTAGAACATGCTTCTCACTGCCTTCGTAGACTTTATACACATAAAAATACCTATAAAAGGACTACTAAAGTTCACAAGGCCGTATAAATAGCTGACTAGTCTTGGTAGGTAAAGCAAAATTGTCGAATAGGAAGTATCAAAAAGGGGACGTCTGTGGATGTCCCACTCGCATCTAACATGTTTAACTTATGTAGGCCATATGACCCCTATAGGATCTACGTATTTGGACTGTTTTCTCTAAGTCTTAATTCATGACTATCATTCACGCCATACCCCCGATTTCAGAACAGTGGATATAGGTAGTTATGGGTAACAATGAATTGAATCAAATGAACAGTATCAATCCGACGAAGTAACTTAATATATAGAAAGTAGAAAGAAACCGTCGTCAAATACTTTCCGCGTCTAACCGTACTTTCGTAAATATATGAGAAAACGATCGACATGTATAAGCAGTTCTTTTGCCACACCTTTGACACTTTAATCTCCTCGAATCATACATACATACTCCCCGCAGGTTTCGTTATTGGTCGGTCACAGGCCCACCAGATAATTCGGCAATTTGTTGTTGTTTTTGGGCGCCAAGCTCCGATGGGCTTGCTTGATGCCAACTCTTTGATTGCGGTAAGTATTGTTTGGTCTGGTTTGTAGAGAGAGAAGGCATAGATCGTACTTCGTTTCCTTGGCGTCGTTTGTTTCGACAACGTACAACGAACCACACAAGCGCAATCAAGATCGCTGCGCCAGCCGCACCCCCGACGGCGCCACCTGCAATAGCCCCGGGATTGGTCGACGAAGCCGGTTGTGGTTCACTAGTCCTTGTGTATGTTGAAGATGTGGTAGTACTCGAAGTTGTTGTAGATGCGGCTATAGAAGTTGATGATGTCGAATTATGCGTGGGCATAGCTATCTCTCATCAATCAGACTATCAGCAAATGGCTCACACCGAACAATGGCAATGTGTAAATACGTACCTGAAGCAGAAGAGAGAATCGGCCGTTGGCGCATGCTAGCTTGTAGATCAGACAAGTGGTTTGCACATCCGACTCCTTTATTAGTTATGTCCTTCATCGTGAAGGCAAATCTGCCTCTCTCACAGCAAAACCCCTCATTCGCTAAGTCGGAGCTATTAGACGAGTAGAGATCTGCTTTGCTATCCGCACAGCTTTCAGCCATTGTACGACTGCAGTCGGCGTTAGATGGGCAGCAGATCACGTTGTATTGAGGCCCTGGGCAAAACATATATCCAGGGCAGCAGCCATGAAATGGAGGAGTCGTTCCACCACAATCTGTTTCAGTGCTCAGGCAAGAGGCATTCCTGCGCAGCGCATAGCCACCAGTGTGAGGCATCGCAGAAGGTTTGAAAATGAATAAATAAAAGTCGTGATTGTCACGATAGAAGACAATGTATGAAGCTCCTAACCAAGACCGAAATCCCGAGGAGAGACTGGGTAGGGGATCAACCGGGTTACTAGGTGAGATAGACTTTTACCACAACGAAATGAGGAGGGTGAAACGAGGTATATGGAATTCCCAGGGAAAGAAAAAGGGAAGAGAGTTTACTTCTCTTGATTATAAAATCTTATCAACAGGGGGGCATGCCCGAACCATGCCCGTCGACCTCGTTATGGTATTACTGCGTAGTACTCCGTATATTTATGCATCATACGGGTACTTCGTATACCCTGCGTCGCTTGAACTACGTATTACTGTATCTACTATATAACCAGCCTCATCCTTATCCGCTCACAAATGACTGCCAAAAATTATCACTCAGTGGCAGAGATACAGCCCTAACCTATTTTTGCCCCGGATGTAGCAATTTCGCTCGAATGGATTGCTGTTAATATGCATGAATGCAGTTGGTTAACATGGGTCCCCAGTCCAGGCGAGATACGAAGTACAGCCTTAGATAATATTAACTACAATCCCTGTAACTACGAGACTTTGACTTGTTTTAGCTCTCCTGTCTACTCAAAGCGCGCAATATGATGAAGGTCCATTTGAGATTCGTCAAAAAATTAATTTAAACTAACATAAAATTATAAACTCATTGTCACGTTGAGCTCAGTGGTTTAAGTAGGCAGTCATCTCGTCCATTGCCATCGCGATACGATCCCCTACAAAGTCGTCTGCGATAGGGCGCCACCATTTATGATTGATTGATTTCAATCCTGCCTCACAATCAGACTGGCTTGCATCTTTCAAGTTCCATTCAGGCCCAAGGCTTTGCCAAGGCATGGGGCCGTCCGCCCGATGAGCATAATCAAGAATATTTTGTTTCGGACGAACAGAGTCATCTTGATCTAGTATCAGACGGAGACCGACGTAGTACTTGTAAAGATCATTTGAGGGACATAGAATGAAGAACCCGGTATCCATGTCGCCTTTCTCGTAAAACTCCCGGTCGGACACAAGTTGCGTATTCAACTTCATCCGAGAATCGTGTTGTGAAGCGATCATATAGTTCTTTGGCATTTTGGCAGTAGGTTTTGTGACTGCACGCATGGTTGCCGCAGGGTCATCAAAGATTTCATATATCGGACGGAATAGGACCGAGTCGACATTCAGGAATACGATTTTGTCATATTCTTCAAGCTTCCATAGGTTCAGCTTGGCGAGATCGGTATCCCATCGTTGCGAGGAGCCCCAGTCATGATTGAGATTCGCCACTGGAATTATCGTAGCTCCTTCTCTGCTTAGGAGATTGCGGTGCTTTTGAGGTATGTCGGGTGTGACTAGAATGAGAAATGGTATATTGTCGATCCTATTTCGCGTTCGCGGGTTGCGGAGTAGTTGGAAGGTGAGTAGCCGTGCAGCCTGAACGTATGGTGCTTCTACATCGGGAAACTCGAAATCATTTTCCGTCATTAGGACGGTGGCAAAGGCATACCGAGGTGGCTTTTGTTCGTCTGTTGATTCATAAAAGCCGAGGGGAGTAAAAGCCCAAATGAAAAGACCCAGGCAAGTGATAATTGCAATCACTTTCCTTAAGTAATGAGTAAATGTCGAGTTTCTATGTACCAGAACCATTGTTCATAAAATGATACACAAGAAAGCAGATCAGGAAATCAGCCAGTCGCTGAATAGATGCGACAAAAGAGCAAGCAAGTGAGTTACGTGGTATGGTCCTGAACAATTCATAAGCAAGAAACCCACACGCAACTTCTGTTTTCGAGTTTGAGAAAAGTTGGAGATACTAGGCTGAGACCGACTTGTACAGTAGAGGATTATTAGCACTTGTGCCTAGGGAGGGTAAGGAGACACGTGATGCTGTAATTAGTGGCATCCATCGTATTTTTATGACCTGCCTGGAATCATACGTAGTTGGATTAAAAATCGGAGCCACCCCTGATGTAGGAATCAGGGAGCAGAGGCAGATCTCAAGGACCAATGAGAGGCATGCGAAAAGTGAAAAATCTAATAAACGCCCGGTAAGGCAAACCGATAACCGGGCAAGAATAAAGTAAAATTACGGATATTAATAATTAAACCATTCTGCCTAGGTGCGAGTCGCCGGAACTAGTGCTTGTGGGTTTCAACCTTAGACCCTTCTCCCTCAGAGGCAACACTCCCAGGGTACTATTGAACTGTTAATTTGGCAAATTCACTACCGATGGATCCGGAGACACCTCAGCCCCTCGGACGGAGTGAGCTTTCTAGCGGTTTGTCCCCATTATTCTCTACATACTCGATTAGGAAGGAGTGTCGAGCCTAGTGATATGCACATCTGCGGGAAGATCCGTGCTTTTTAACATTAAAAATTACGCACGGCAAAAGACTGATAAGGCCACGATCTAGTGGATTTCTTAGATGTACTGCGCATATTAGTCCTAGTAGTCTCCTACCTAATTCATTTGTAACTAAGGGATAACCTGTGGCCCTGGTTGGGGCATATACCTGGTAGCAGGGGCACCCGTGTATATGTAGCTATCCACGGATCCCATGTCAGGTTCAAACAGCCCAAACTCAATTTAGCGCTAGCCATGCAGGAATGATACATGGTTCCACAGTTCCAATGTGAGATCTTGTACTCTATCACTTCTAGTTGTTTCACTCCTTTATATCCCCCATACATGTACTTACGTATCATCGGAAGGTCCGTTCTTGGTCGATGTCAATAATTTTGACACTACTCCAAGCACATATGGCTAATTTTCAACGAACATGAAACAGCTTCAAAAATATTGCTGCTGATATTGTATTGAGCGCTACATTAGGTAGGGATGGTAATTCAATTTCATATTGTGCAGTATCTCTGCGTCTTAACATAGTCCATCTCAATGTCAAAATTAATTTACTCCATTTATTCCTCATTCTTCCGCTCCACAGCTATGCCGCTTTGTTGCTTAAGTATCTCCGCCTCCAGTCTGTCTTCCTCTGCCCATCTTGCTAAATCTTCCCTTTCCTCTCTATCCCTCTTTTGTTGCTCATGTTCCAACTTCGCTTCATATTCCTTTATCGCTTCCTCTTTCAGCCTCTGACGCTCTCGGTCATCCACTCTCGCTTTTGCTTGATCTAAGCTTTCGCCTTCACGGACTACCCATCTTCCATAATTCGACCATGCCTTTCCCTCATATAACAATTTCGTCCCCATAAATTCTTTAAGCTGCATCCAAAATGGGATGATGGTCTCATCGATAGCGCTATGTGGGCTCTTGATAGCAAACCATAGTTCCTCGAATAGATGGGGTTCATCAATAGCTCGGGGATCGGTCTCATGTAGCCCACAAAATATCGCAAATTCCGGCCGGAGTCCGAGCTGTATGCCCTTCTCGATATAGCCCTCTAGGTTTATATAATCAGTTGAAAATTCCTTACTATATCAGATGTCAGATGCAAATACTTACTATGAGTAGTGTAATCATAGTCATCCTCCTTATCATCATGGACTCCTTGCATGAACAAATCTACCATTCCTTCAATCAAAGGGAAGGTAATATCGCTGAAACCCTTGGTGGAAACTTTATTGTCATATCCACAGCTAGGTGCTTGAAAATCTGGATATATTTCATTAAACTTCCGTTCAACCTCAATGATTTTTTTATCGGATAGTCCAACCCATCTCAGACACTCTCGGGTATCAGCAGGGTCTGGCAGGGTCATACCAAGCCGGTACGTGTAGTCCCGGTACCCATTCTCGTGAAATTTGTGGGGACCAATCGATGAATGTATGTCCCCACGAGAAGTTCCAATCTTGGCAAGTTCAGGAGTCCATTCAAAATTGATGGGCTTTTCCTCCTCGGCGGTGGCTTCCGGATGATCCTCATGTTCGAGATGATCCTTGCGTTCGGGGGCATCCTCGGCATCACCCATATTGGAAAGGAACAAATAAAACTGGACCGTGCGAAACGATACTCGGCCAAAATGTAGAATCAGACTTATGACAAGGAAGGGAAGTTGGCGCGTGGTATTTAAGGTGCGGGGTCCACGGGTATTATGATGGAGTTTCCAAGTTTGCCCAGTAGCGCCGGCTATAGGACAGCTTTTCACTTCTTTGTCAATCCAATCTAGATTTTCACATTTCCAGAAGAAACTCAACCTATAGAACCAGTTGATATTGCCCTAACCGTGTAGGTGTTACAAAGGGAAAGTTCTAGAGCGGCCGAAAACTTTTGCGATGCGGTATCACTCTATGAAAATAATGATGTCTTGTGGATTCAAATGATTCTTGGGTCCATAGTTCAAGAAGAAAAGTAACAAAGCAACTTCCTCTTCCATAAGATTAATATCACGATAGAAACTATTTTCCTCGGCAAGAGGGGTTTATTGTATATTGTGGAGTGATCTGTTACCTAGTACTAACCAATGACACCGATCCAGAGGTGTTGTAGATTAATATCGAGATCGAGGATGATGGCGGAACTTATTCGAATAAACACATGAAATTCACGATAAACCCAGCCGAGTTTATCAGAAGGGAAGTGTTACTCGTGCCAGAGTACTTTCAATAGAGATGAGATACTCTAGACTACGAATTATTAAATAATGGCTGGCCAGAAAGGGAGAGATAAAAGGACGAACGAATAGTGACATTTTCAAGGTCATAATCGATAAACCCCTGGCTGCAAATATTGGGTCATTCGCTCATCCTAGGTTCAGTTCTAATCATTTCGGATGTGACGAGGAAGTTTGCACTAAGCATTCGTTTGAGGTGAAAGATATCATTTTGCCTCCGGAGCTTCAAACTCTCATACACCCAGATGGCCTCCTATCTATGGAGAAAGTGCACTGACTATCTGACGAAGTCTTACACTTCTGCAAGTTTTCAATGGCCATTACGACGGAGCTCACTCGGCGTTGTCCGAAAAATGAATCGGAGCAGATGCCTAAGGACAACGTTTCCATCATCACCCTCCTCATCAAGACGATTTTGGAAGACCTTTTTCGTTTTCTTGGTGTATTCTCGTAGCTTTCCTAGGCTTGGAAACATTCGCACCCGTTTGTTCGTGCTCCCACTTCGAGCCCAGGCGATCAAATCAATAATATTGACGAACACACCTCGGACAGCCTAGGTCAGCATATTAGCCAAGTTCACCGACAAAGTCTTCTAGACTTTTATCCGGGGCCTTGAATCCATATGCATAATCATGGACTGGAGACAAGTACTTACATTCACAGCCTGTTTACAGGTTGCAGGCAAAGGCTCCATTCCTATAGCGCGACAAAGAGAATGCCAGGCGCCAAGGTCATCCTCTGCTCCAAACCACATCTTCACCTCCGCTTCTAAAGCGGATTGATATTGTTCCCAGGCTTCTTTATCCTTTATATCGTATTCTCTCCAGCGACAGAACCTCTTAAGCTGGGCATAAGATTCCGATGGAGGTAGTTTTGGATTGTAACTGAAGCCTGCGAAGGATTGGAAGAATTCATCTAACGGTGTGCTGGGCGGCGCGATGTGTGCTTTTGAATATTCGATGTGTTGTTCCAAGGCGTCTCTGCTGCCAAATGTTCGGTTGCAAAGTTCACAGTGGAATGATGCCGCATGTGCTGGTGAATTTTGAACATGTTGATCCAAGGCACTTTGACTGCCAAAGGACCTGTTGCAAGGCCCACACCCATATGTGATGGTATGTACAGGCGAGTACTGGACATGGTCATCAAGGGCAATTTGACTGTCAAAACTCCTATCGCAAAGCTCACAGCCGAATGATGCCGCGTGTGCTGGTGAATTTTGAACATGTTGTTCCAAGGCACTTTGACTGCCAAAGGACCTATTGCAAGGCCCACACCCATATGTGATGGTATGCGCAGGCGAGTCCCGCAGATGTTGGTCAAGGGCACTTTGACAGACAAAGGATTTGTTGCAAGGCCCACAACTGAACGATACAGCATGTGCCAGCGAATTTTGAGCATGTTGATCCAAGGCACTTTGGCTACCAAAAGACTTGCCACAAGGCTTACAGTCGTATATGGTGGTATGCACAGACAAGTCTCGGGTATGCGGATCAAGGGCGCTTTGACTGACAAAAGTCCGATTGCAAGGTTCGCATGGAAATGTCGAAGTATGTGCCGGAGAATCTCGAATATGCTGACGAAGTGCCTGTCCGTCATCAAAAAATCGATCACACAAGTCGCAGCGTTCCATGGCTAGTCAAATGGTAAATGATTCCAGAGCGAGGTACCATATTTATGAGTAGTGTGGGTGGCATTCAGCTTTGTATGCAATAGTGAGCTGGCAAACCCCGCATGCCATGCTATCGGCGGCATTGCTGCCTGCGGTCGTCCTGCGCATTTTGCCCTCTACAAGCTCCCTATAACGATATGCCTCCCTTTCATGGTCTGTTATGGTCTGTGGTTCTTTTATCCGATCGCCTCGGTGTGATAACCTTTTATTTAAGGTTGTGTAGAAAGCTTGCGCGTTTATCCGAAGCTTTCGAGGACTCCTATATGTGGTCTGCGGACTATTGAGGCTGCCTTCTTTAGCCGCCTTGATCCCTGTGTGCAGGGATCCCCGCATGGAAGTTCATGGAGCCATACGTACCTATGTCAGTGTTGGAGGCGTACAACTAAGCCCCGTTCGGTGCAAGAATGCCTACACAGATGGAGAAGTTAGAAGTCGGCTCTGAAAATCCACCAATCCAGGGGAGGACATAATAGGGTCCGAAGCTGATTCACCAAATTTCCCTTTTCGTTCCTTCTTTCTCAAATCAAACGAAAGAAGGATGCTGGACCAGACACTTCAACAAACGCGAAGCCTCAACCAGCAGAATTATCGACGAAAATCCCCACCATCCTGCGAAGGTATCAAATGAATAGTTCTACGTTCGTTGCGGCCATAGCATGCCTAGCGACATAATAATGAGAGTAGGGTACGAGGATGGAGGAAATTGAAATTCTTGGCGACTTTTAATCGATCGAATGCGCAGAAAATCATTATTTGCCTAATATGCATTGGATGATTGTCTAACAACTCTCAATAGTTCTCTGCACAATAAGTCTTTCCACGTCGAGACGCCATCACAGGTAACGGAGGGCCCCATACCCACCTGTAAGTTCTTGATTCTCGAGATTGGGACTGGTATTGTCGGGAATTGCAATTAGAATGATGCCGGTCCTCCACGGGGGACGGAGAATGATGTATAGGACAATTGGAATGGTGAGTCTCGGCATACTCGGGCATCCTGTCGTCCTCCTCGAATCTAACGGCTTTTATTTTACTACCGCACCCGTCCTCATGTGACTTACACACGGTAGCACGAACACAGGCACCTTGTTCTGATGATTCGAAGTGACGTTGGACACGATCGAATGACTTATTTGAGCTTTTTGAATGGGAGTGCTTGACTGTAGGTGGATCACGTTGTCGCTCATTAAAGTGGATTGCTTCAGTATGATAAAGGCCAGTGTGGTAGTGGTGGTCTTCATCTTCACTGGAGTCGGGTGATCGAGCTCGGGAGTGGAGATGAGCAGATTGGCTTTCGTGTCGATTATGAAAGCAGACTTTGTGGTGTTGGACATGGGGGTCGGATTCGATGTAGTTCCTGCAATCCGTTCAGTGGTGAAATACCGACGCAACCCAGGTAAAAGTCCGATCTTACATTTTGAGGCGGGCCTGCTCACTTCGATACAGAGGACAAAAATAACAATGAATCGTCTCGTTGATACTTGGCGGTTGATGGACGTGGGAGCTGTTCCTTGAGCAGGGCATGGCTTGCTCGACGTGACACAGGGGTGGATGGTCATAACAGTAACAGTCACTCTTTTCAATTTGCCTCCTAGCTGTTCGATTGTATTGTGAAGGAAGGATCTCCTTTATCGCTTTGCTCTGTTGATACATATGGTGATGGTGCATGTGTGAATAAAGAAACTGAGGGACACTCCCAAGCCCGAGAGATATATTCGGTCATGAAGGCGGGCGCCCAATTCGGTTACGCCTTTTGGTCTGTAATCTCATTAGCTTCCCTCACACAAGCCTTGAGTGACAAGGAAGTACAAACAGCCGGCGAAATACTTTTAAACGTGACTAGGTGGGCACCCGCTTCATCGTATGATCCCTTCAACCGTTTGTCTCCCCTACCAGTTACCTCTGAGCTCGCCCTGCGTTTTTGCTTTTTTGCTTTTTTCGTCTTTCTTGATGCGCGGCCTCCTTCACGATGTACGTTCTCGAATATTCCGAAGACTTTGGAGGTCACGCAGATGACTTCACATTCCAAAAGTCCATCATAGTCTACGAAATGTCCGGCTCAATCTACAGGGCATACTCCCGAAAGCGATATACATCAAAAGAAGAGATCCAGTTTGGCGACTTGTTCAGCACCAACAAAATCCAAGGGGCTTCCATTTTCCCGGAGTTCTCGGACACATTCACCAAGGCAGAAAGGTCCTCGGACTGTTCGACCTGGTATCTCAAAAAGCCAAGCCTTTCACCCTACCACCCCCAATACCCAGACCTGATCCGAGAAACCTGGATTGAAGAAGTGAAAACTTGCGAACTTCTCAAGACAAATCCGCACCCTAATATTGCCCAATACCACGGCTGCGCCGTTGTCGACGATGGTTCAATCAGAGGAATCTATTTCACAAAGTATGATGAAACGCTTATGGACAGAGTGAACTCTCTCAGACGCAATAAGATGGACTTTGCATACGAGAGGCATCAGGTTGACCGAGACAAGGTCGACGGTTGGTTGGAGGGAATTGCACGGGGCCTGAAACATCTGCATGGGTTGGGTATCGTCCACAATGACCTCAACCCGTGTAACATCATGTTCCAAGGTGACACCCCTGTCATTATCGATTTTGACTCCACTCGGCCTCATGGCCACGATTTGAGTCTAGTTAAACGCACGCATGGATGGCATGATGAGAAGGCTAAGGTGGCGTTGCCGATGAATGATCTCGCTGCACTACTAGAAATACAGTTGTGGCTTTTAGGGGAAGTTGACCAGTTTCAATTTTAAAGTCTGAATTTTGAATTCTTTTTGCCACAGGTGTGGTTTGATAGCTTTGTTTGATGGTATGATCTGCTTTTGGGATTTGAGGGAATTCAAGATCAATAATATCATTGGATATTCTTGAATGACCGGCAGGTTACAGGCGTGCATTACAGTGTTTGCTACATGCGTCTCGTCTCGGGGAATCACATCTGAGACTGAATTCTACATATGCAAGAGTTGATACTACTACAAGTAACATCGTGTATCTTCAAACTGGCTCATTCCATAGGCCCCAGGAGGGCGGAGAGTCGTGGAGTTGCTTCATCACACTTCGATAGTTTCGACCAGTTAAATAGTGCAGGTTCTGAGTGGATAATCTGTCGAGCGACGTAGTAGCAGAAGCTTCAAAAAGAACGCGAGGGCTCGAAAGCATATGTTCAAGACCTAGGATGAAAGGAACATCTTGTGATGCAAACGAATGGACCTTCCATTGGGGATCATCCGGGCTTCGTCCCGGGCCAAGATTAACCCACCTAGTGATCATATAAGCGAGATTATCTTTCCCGTATTCACGCAGCTCCAGATGATATTCGGTGTTGCATTTGTCGCATGTCATCCGCAAAAGTGGTAGCGTCCTTCTCTCGCAATAAACATCGACAAATTGCTCGATTGAGCCTAATATTTCGTCGCATCCTATGTGCGCGCAAATTTAGTAAATTTGTGGAGGAACTTGTTTGTCCTTGTCGGATACTAGCTGGTCGGCTCTTAAGTGCCTCACTGACATGATGTCTTGGATTCGTAAGCATAACACTGGGGATCCAAAATCGATGCATATCTGTGTCTCAAAAGAATGTAGGGCGTCCGATGTAATGTGGAGAGTAACTCCGGTGAAATATAGTACGGATGGGTGAATACCGTATTGAGGACCGTAGTGGTACCATCTCATGGCAAGTTGAAGATGAAGGAAACAAAACTCATTTTCAGCGTAGGACTTGAGGTATTTGTTATAAATAGACATTTTCAACTCTGGAATAAACTGTCCGTTTCGCGTTCGCATACAAGGGGAAAGGTGCAGCCCTATTTGTTGAACGACCGGCCCTGATAGCCCAAAGCTCTTTGACCCATTGTCATATTTGTGGAGAGCACAGCAGGCGTAACATGTGAAATACTCCGGACCATCCCGTTCGAGTCTATTCAGAAAGGAAAACCGAACTTTCTTCTCCAGTTTGTCACGTTTCCTGTAGCTCTCAAATATTGCGAAAAGTCGACGGTTGCAAAGCGAAAGACAGTAGATATCTTCGGGCGGGAGAAAGTCCGCTATTGATAGCAGTAACTCGGCAACAAGGCCGGTTAGGGTATTCGGTATCCGAAATTGTATATGAGGAAATTTGAAATGAAGGGGTTCAAAATTAGGGATCTGGTCTCTTCCACGAGGCCAAGAGAGATATTTGGCAGGAAATTCCCAGAGTTTTGCCATGATGACAGCAAGAGCCAATCAAGCCTGAGATCAAAATGTAGATAGAAAGATAAAGCAAGGAATCAGAAGCAACTGCCAAGTGATATTTGGAAGGGGCGGGTGCAGATACTATTGTGATGGAACTAGATCCGAGTAAAGTAATAAAGGTATACATAAATATAGTCCCAAATAGGTTTAACAACATAGAGCTTATTGAAGTGCTACGTCATCAAGCACAGACAGAGCCCACATATACGGCTGAATACCGCTTGTAGATAGAGGCGTAAATGCAATACATAACATATCGGGATATACCACAAGTACCATTATGACAGAGAGATGAAAGTGAAATCAGACAAATGCGAGAGAAATGCGAATGGAATCCGAAGGAAGTATTAGAGGATGATCAGAGTATTATGATAACAGAAAAGAGAAGATGATGCCATATAGGATCATAAGTAGAACAAGTGACTATCCAGGAAGGTGAGAATATGTGCAGTGTTAATCTCTAGTTTCAATCATACTAGTAACCTCACCCCAATCCATTGAACAACTATATCTATCAAAAGAAATTCAACTTATCAAGAAACAAATGATGTCAGCATGCTAAACTATCTCATTCTAACTAAAATGAGTTCACCTTATCCTCAACGAGTCTTTTTGTTCAGGAGCTATCAAACGCCTGTTACTAGCTTTTTTTTTTTTGCCAACACAACACCAGCCGAAATACTATCTACGCCAAGTTTCCCCCGGCACTAGTATACCCCCTACCATCAGTGTATATCCTTTTCCGGATGTTTACTCGCACAAAGACTATTTCAATTTTCCAGTGGCCCTAGCCATATCTGTAACTATGTCTGCCGACTAGCCCCGGCCAAGATACTCAGGTAACATTAGAGGCTATGGACAAATTGTAGAATCTTATCTCCGCTATCATCAGAACCATGACATTAGACCACTGCGAAACGGGCACAGCAAAAGCAGCCTTCAAATATCCCTATGAGAAGTGCAGCGGTGACAAAAAGAAAGAAAGAAAAACAGAAAGATAGGAACCCGGCGGTCAAGATGATCGACCAATATCCCCCAGCCCTTTTGAGCGAGCTCCGGGGGAGGCAAGAAGATTTGGAAAAGGAGCTCAGGGTGTTCAAAGAGAGCACTTAGGTACCCCGAGTAAGATTCCGAGGCTGCAGAGAGGTAGGTCTCTCCAATCCATCTCCAAGGAACGTGTAGCTGAGCTCTAGATCTTGTATACTATCAAGCTAGAGAAAGATTATAAAGCTAAACCGTTATAGAAGTTCAGAGTGAGCTATAGTGTTCAATTGAACAAGAATATTTCCTACCTCTATTGTGATATAGGTCTCTAGTAAGCTAATAAATTTTGTCAAGATGATATTAGGGATGCTCTATTAACATCACGTCACAATGTCTTAGTGGAAGTCTCTTTCGGATATCTCCCAACCTGCTTGGTCTTATAGCCAGAAGAATGAAAATAATTGGCACCAAAGTACATGTATCACGAAAAGCACAATGGCCACAAGACAGAAAGATACCTTTGCCAGGTATAATATATGATATTCGAATAGCTTATAGTGGAGCTACTTTAGACCCAGATGTCCTACCTCGATTCAATGTACGCCTTCATTCAACGTTCAGAATATTACCAGATGATGTAGAAAGCTGCTTGCTGTATGTCATCGAAGGTGTAAAGCGCTGTACCCAGTCTTCCCGAATAGTGAGGAATGCATCGCAGACTGCTTTGACGGCGTCTTCACGGGAGTCTCCACAGCTCTCGATATAAACTTTGTCCACATGTTAATAACCGATTTGCTCGGAAGAGGCTGGAAAAACTTACACTTGACCTTGGGCTCTGTCCCCGAGCCTCGGAATGTGAAGCGAACCCCACCATCCAACCACAGCGTAATCATCTGGCTTGTTGGATCTTGAGGTAGATCTGGCTTGTTATCAGGGGTACTGGAGTCGTAGCCCTCGGTCAAATCTCTCCATCGCAAAATCTTGAAGGGACCAAATTGCATATTTGCGAGACCTGAACTGCCTCGAATGCCCTGGAACAATGTTGCGGTGAGCTGTGGATTTGGCGATCGGAAGTAGTTATTCAAGGTCTCGTG